TAGTCACCTGGGGTTCTAGTGAGAAGTCGTGACCAGTAGGGTGCAGCAGGTCGGGCGTGAGGACAAATACTCGCCGAAGACATTGGCTAGGGGTCGCGCTATGTCGTGAATTGGCAGAAGTTAGAATTCATGGACCATTGGATCGGGTCCCAGTGGCTTAATGGTATACGAGCTCGCCTTGTAACCAGAAGGTCCTGGGTTCGAATCCCGGTGGGTGCGTACTGCTGAAGAGTCCCAAACTAGGACGAAACAGCTGTCCAGTACTCCCAGGTTTTCCAATGGTTCTCTAACTGATGTCAGCTCATGATGAAATCCTGTAACCAATCAAATCCCTACAAACCAACACTTGAAAATCAATGAGATGCTCACTAGCGACTTGCCCTATTCAGGTGGGTAGTCACCTGGGGTTCTAGTGAGAAGTCGTGACCAGTAGGGTGCAGCAGGTCGGGCGTGAGGACAAATACTCGCCGAAGACATTGGCTAGGGGTCGCGCTATGTCGTGAATTGGCAGAAGTTAGAATTCATGGACCATTGGATCGGGTCCCAGTGGCTTAATGGTATACGAGCTCGCCTTGTAACCAGAAGGTCCTGGGTTCGAATCCCGGTGGGTGCGTACTGCTGAAGAGTCCCAAACTAGGACGAAACAGCTGTCCAGTACTCCCAGGTTTTCCAATGGTTCTCTAACTGATGTCAGCTCATGATGAAATCCTGTAACCAATCAAATCCCTACAAACCAACACTTGAAAATCAATGAGATGCTCACTAGCGACTTGCCCTATTCAGGTGGGTAGTCACCTGGGGTTCTAGTGAGAAGTCGTGACCAGTAGGGTGCAGCAGGTCGGGCGTGAGGACAAATACTCGCCGAAGACATTGGCTAGGGGTCGCGCTATGTCGTGAATTGGCAGAAGTTAGAATTCATGGACCATTGGATCGGGTCCCAGTGGCTTAATGGTATACGAGCTCGCCTTGTAACCAGAAGGTCCTGGGTTCGAATCCCGGTGGGTGCGTACTGCTGAAGAGTCCCAAACTAGGACGAAACAGCTGTCCAGTACTCCCAGGTTTTCCAATGGTTCTCTAACTGATGTCAGCTCATGATGAAATCCTGTAACCAATCAAATCCCTACAAACCAACACTTGAAAATCAATGAGATGCTCACTAGCGACTTGCCCTATTCAGGTGGGTAGTCACCTGGGGTTCTAGTGAGAAGTCGTGACCAGTAGGGTGCAGCAGGTCGGGCGTGAGGACAAATACTCGCCGAAGACATTGGCTAGGGGTCGCGCTATGTCGTGAATTGGCAGAAGTTAGAATTCATGGACCATTGGATCGGGTCCCAGTGGCTTAATGGTATACGAGCTCGCCTTGTAACCAGAAGGTCCTGGGTTCGAATCCCGGTGGGTGCGTACTGCTGAAGAGTCCCAAACTAGGACGAAACAGCTGTCCAGTACTCCCAGGTTTTCCAATGGTTCTCTAACTGATGTCAGCTCATGATGAAATCCTGTAACCAATCAAATCCCTACAAACCAACACTTGAAAATCAATGAGATGCTCACTAGCGACTTGCCCTATTCAGGTGGGTAGTCACCTGGGGTTCTAGTGAGAAGTCGTGACCAGTAGGGTGCAGCAGGTCGGGCGTGAGGACAAATACTCGCCGAAGACATTGGCTAGGGGTCGCGCTATGTCGTGAATTGGCAGAAGTTAGAATTCATGGACCATTGGATCGGGTCCCAGTGGCTTAATGGTATACGAGCTCGCCTTGTAACCAGAAGGTCCTGGGTTCGAATCCCGGTGGGTGCGTACTGCTGAAGAGTCCCAAACTAGGACGAAACAGCTGTCCAGTACTCCCAGGTTTTCCAATGGTTCTCTAACTGATGTCAGCTCATGATGAAATCCTGTAACCAATCAAATCCCTACAAACCAACACTTGAAAATCAATGAGATGCTCACTAGCGACTTGCCCTATTCAGGTGGGTAGTCACCTGGGGTTCTAGTGAGAAGTCGTGACCAGTAGGGTGCAGCAGGTCGGGCGTGAGGACAAATACTCGCCGAAGACATTGGCTAGGGGTCGCGCTATGTCGTGAATTGGCAGAAGTTAGAATTCATGGACCATTGGATCGGGTCCCAGTGGCTTAATGGTATACGAGCTCGCCTTGTAACCAGAAGGTCCTGGGTTCGAATCCCGGTGGGTGCGTACTGCTGAAGAGTCCCAAACTAGGACGAAACAGCTGTCCAGTACTCCCAGGTTTTCCAATGGTTCTCTAACTGATGTCAGCTCATGATGAAATCCTGTAACCAATCAAATCCCTACAAACCAACACTTGAAAATCAATGAGATGCTCACTAGCGACTTGCCCTATTCAGGTGGGTAGTCACCTGGGGTTCTAGTGAGAAGTCGTGACCAGTAGGGTGCAGCAGGTCGGGCGTGAGGACAAATACTCGCCGAAGACATTGGCTAGGGGTCGCGCTATGTCGTGAATTGGCAGAAGTTAGAATTCATGGACCATTGGATCGGGTCCCAGTGGCTTAATGGTATACGAGCTCGCCTTGTAACCAGAAGGTCCTGGGTTCGAATCCCGGTGGGTGCGTACTGCTGAAGAGTCCCAAACTAGGACGAAACAGCTGTCCAGTACTCCCAGGTTTTCCAATGGTTCTCTAACTGATGTCAGCTCATGATGAAATCCTGTAACCAATCAAATCCCTACAAACCAACACTTGAAAATCAATGAGATGCTCACTAGCGACTTGCCCTATTCAGGTGGGTAGTCACCTGGGGTTCTAGTGAGAAGTCGTGACCAGTAGGGTGCAGCAGGTCGGGCGTGAGGACAAATACTCGCCGAAGACATTGGCTAGGGGTCGCGCTATGTCGTGAATTGGCAGAAGTTAGAATTCATGGACCATTGGATCGGGTCCCAGTGGCTTAATGGTATACGAGCTCGCCTTGTAACCAGAAGGTCCTGGGTTCGAATCCCGGTGGGTGCGTACTGCTGAAGAGTCCCAAACTAGGACGAAACAGCTGTCCAGTACTCCCAGGTTTTCCAATGGTTCTCTAACTGATGTCAGCTCATGATGAAATCCTGTAACCAATCAAATCCCTACAAACCAACACTTGAAAATCAATGAGATGCTCACTAGCGACTTGCCCTATTCAGGTGGGTAGTCACCTGGGGTTCTAGTGAGAAGTCGTGACCAGTAGGGTGCAGCAGGTCGGGCGTGAGGACAAATACTCGCCGAAGACATTGGCTAGGGGTCGCGCTATGTCGTGAATTGGCAGAAGTTAGAATTCATGGACCATTGGATCGGGTCCCAGTGGCTTAATGGTATACGAGCTCGCCTTGTAACCAGAAGGTCCTGGGTTCGAATCCCGGTGGGTGCGTACTGCTGAAGAGTCCCAAACTAGGACGAAACAGCTGTCCAGTACTCCCAGGTTTTCCAATGGTTCTCTAACTGATGTCAGCTCATGATGAAATCCTGTAACCAATCAAATCCCTACAAACCAACACTTGAAAATCAATGAGATGCTCACTAGCGACTTGCCCTATTCAGGTGGGTAGTCACCTGGGGTTCTAGTGAGAAGTCGTGACCAGTAGGGTGCAGCAGGTCGGGCGTGAGGACAAATACTCGCCGAAGACATTGGCTAGGGGTCGCGCTATGTCGTGAATTGGCAGAAGTTAGAATTCATGGACCATTGGATCGGGTCCCAGTGGCTTAATGGTATACGAGCTCGCCTTGTAACCAGAAGGTCCTGGGTTCGAATCCCGGTGGGTGCGTACTGCTGAAGAGTCCCAAACTAGGACGAAACAGCTGTCCAGTACTCCCAGGTTTTCCAATGGTTCTCTAACTGATGTCAGCTCATGATGAAATCCTGAATACGAAAATGTTATTATTCACCTAATAATTTCCTTCATAAAATGAAATCGTATGGTGAAAAACTCCACATCACCCACCACCTCTCTCTCTCTCAAGTTGTACGTCTTACTTTCTGATTGGTTAAAAATAAATATTCATATTTGGGTTAGAAATTCATTTGTTATAATATAGGAAAGAGAGGATCATGTTATTTTTAATAGAGTACAACATACAACCAATCAAACAAACAAACAAACCAACAAACACATGTGATAGCAAACATTTGTCTGTATCCCCTCAATGTATGTACAAGGCTTTTATCAGTCAGATAAATTAAGAAGAAAAGTATTCTGTGTATATGCGTATGTGTGTGTAGAGGTGTGAAATATCACATGTGAAGCAGACAATAGGACGTGTAGTATTCACTGTGTTCACTACGTATAAAACAAACATCATCATACTACACAGCTTTGTTTGTTCAATAGACCAATCAATATTGAGCTTAGAACTTCATGTATCCAATACCAGAAAAGGAAATCAGTTGTTGTCGTAGTAGTAGTAGTAGTAGTAAGTGAAGCGGTAGAACGAGAACATGGACTAACTTGTCGTTATCCCATATGTTGTTGTTGTTTAACCAAAGGGGTGTAAATCCACTAGCGTGGCTTGAGATGATGATAGGTGATTTTTTGTTGTTGAGATTACAAATGAGAGATACTAGTTTATAAATTTGATTCAAGCGAGATGAAGAGACAGAAAGAGAGAGAGAGAGCAAGCGAGGTAGATAGCCAGAGAGCGAGAGAGAGACAGAGGAATTAATTACCACTATCGTTATTATTATTATGATTGTACATTATTCTTGTGAAATGGCGTTATCTATTTGAATAACCCCTTGATATAATTTTTAAAAAAAGTCAAAATCTCAGCACCCCCCCATCCCACTGAACTTTAATCACGAACACACACATACACAGACACTGTACAAGGTAGTTTTATAAAACCAGAGAAGAATGTTCAACAGTGTTAATTAGAGAGATATTTAATACATACATATCACTTCAGACAACTTAGTGAGATCAGAATACTATACAATCCGGTTGACAGAGAATTTTACAACACTTTATACATTATTCTAAACATTTCAGTGAAATCATACATCATGAATGAAAATGTAAGTTGATAATTTCTGTATTGAAACCGTATTTGTTTTAATTGTTATGCCAGTTTTTTATATGTAGATTTAATAATTTCGATGACTTTTCAAGAGTTGGTTTGTAAGGATTTAACTTTATTTTTTTCTACGAGTTTGACCACGGATTGATTGATATCAGTTAGAGAACCATTGAAAACCATATACAGGGAGTACTGCCAGACGCCTGTTTCAGTTGTCCTAGTTTAGGAACCATAGGCAGTACGTGCCCACCACAGTGGGTGGGGGGTTCGAACACAGAACCTTCTAGTTACAAGGCCAACTAGCTTGTATACCATTCAGCCATTCACCAGGACCTGCCCGATTTATTGGTCAGATGAAACAGCTGCCTGGCAGTACTCCCTGGTTTTCAATGGTTGTCTAACTGGTATGAATCATTCCGTGGTGAAACTCGTAAAAACAATTCCGATTACAGTATATTGGAAGAATACAGTATTCAAAGAAGAGACTCTTTTAGGGAATTTATTGCCAAGCTGTATGTTCATTTCTTCATAAGTTATGTATGTAACTGAACAGATTGATAATGAATTTGTGTATGTTCTTCGACTAAAGGCTACTATAGTAATTCCATCGTTCTTCGGTTGGATAATTTTAACTGACATATTATATATATATATATATATATATATATATATATATATATATATATTAGAATTTGTGATTTTCAAACTCTGCGTTCGGGAGTTAAAGATAAACTGCCTAATTTCGCCTCTTCTATATGTGTGTATCTATCACAATTTGACTGCTCCCTCTGTGGAGTGAGCCAGTTAGTTGCATAGGTCGTACAATCAGGTATGTTTCTCGTCGAACATCGTCCTGCATGGTTAGTTAAGTAAAGGACAAACCAAATCCCTTCATAGCTGTATTCTATGTCATCTCGTGGCTACAGAACACAAGACTGATGTTAACGAGGCTTTCAAAGTCATCTACCGCACACCAACAAATCTTAACTTCACCTTAAGATTTCGTCTACTACATACTGCTGAGGCCATTGGGATCCACATTAAGAAACCTAACTTATGTATGCATCCAAAAGAAGAAGTTGGTTCAGACACTGTTCTTACGTCGGCCATCAAGGTCCTAATGATCCTCATTTTATTGTGGAAATTTCCTTAATTTTATTAGATATTCTATTTACTATTACATTTGTATAATTCTTATTATAATTTATGCATCTTTAGTGGACTGTAATTCCATTGTGATCTTACTTAACAAATCGGTTATATTTAAAAAAGCGCCAATAATGTTATTGACGAGACTATTCTAGAATATTCTGTGTATAAAAACACACATGTAATTGTAGAGCCAGAAGAGGAGGAAATTATCGAAAAGGATATTCTTTGCTCAATTATTTTGGTTTTTTTTAATATAGAAGACACGAATTTATCTATAGCTGTTCCCGCACAGGTCAATAGCATATATATATTTTAAAGGAATTCAAAATGCTTACTTGGTGTCCCCTGTCAATCAAATAGTCTCATGATTGCACTGCTCAAAAAATCTTTCTGTTTTTCCAATATATCTGCTTTGGTACATACGCGTCAAGTGATGTACACAAAGGATATCCGTCGATTTTTGATTCAAGGAACTAACATACTATTTGATAGAGAGGGATCAATCTAACTGCAGGGATGTCTAATGGAATATATTTGGATCGATATAAGGATAAAACCTGGGCACTGTGGTGGCAGAGTATAACTCCATTATGGATAAAATTTTATTGTGATAAATTGTCACAATGTTTGTTATACAGTAATATTTACTGATGACCACACGTTTCGAGCACATTTTATTGCTGCTAATAATCATATCACGGTATTTACATAACTTTCTTGCTTCATTTATATGCATATATACATGTACCTTGACATGATAATGAGCAATAAATTGTGCTCGAAACGTTGTCATCAGTAAATATTATTGTATAACAAGCAATGTGAGACTTTATCAAAATAAAATTTTATCCATAATGGAGCTACATCTGGATCAAGTAGACATGATGCAGGGTTGAATGAACTAAATAGTTATATGATAATCTATCCCCAGGTTTACCTTATTCTATTCATTTTCAATGAATCGAGTCATTTTGTTTCCCTACTCTATATGTCTAAGAAAGAGATATAGTACTTCGTTTTTATTCGAAGGGTCTTTAACACATACTGAGCAAACAAACAAATCTATGCACGTGATATGTATAGTTGACATCTTAAGGGTTATTTTCAAATTTCATACAGTTGGATTATAGTCAATAATACATTTGACAGATGAACCTATCTCTTAGATATGATAAATTTGCCTGGGCTCCCTTCAGAAATATGCCTTTCAAAGTTGTGATCTCAATCTACCTTATTACCACCTTTGTAGGCTGATCATCGTGTATCACTTTTCATAAACATGCATAAATATGCAACCGAAAGTTACTGACTCGTAACTATATGATAGGAGGATCGCCTCTATCTAGTATCAGACTGGGACATGTCGGTCACGAGGTCTTTTATCAAAATTCGAGGGAACCCATTCACAAGCTACACTATTTTTGGTTGGAGGATTTTATCATGAGTTGACGTCAGTTGGTTAGAAAACCATTGGAAAACCTGCAGGGAATACTGCCAGATAGCTGTTTCCTCTGTGCTAGTTTGGGACTCTGCATCAGTACGCGGTACGCTATTTTTTATTTCACTCTGCAAATAGTAATGGATACTTATATATATTACTAAAGTAGTCTGAAGTAGAAATAAATATAGATTCATTCACCATTTCCGTCTCTTAGCAACACTTTCGTATTTGCATCACATTGTGCTAAGAAATATCAGTTCTACATTGAGACAATCATTTAATTGTAATGATAAAGAGTGATGTATGTCATCTGCACTTAAAAGAAGTGTCACTTACTGTATTCAATTAGCTTTCATCTTGTAATCACCTTTGATTGATCATAAAATTTATACACGAATGAGTGAGTGAGTGAGTGAGACTGACTGAGATGAGTAGCTGTGTACCAAGCATAGCTAGCAAACCAAATCGAGGTAATCTATAAACACTGGACGACTATTTCGCTCTTTTGGTTCCGAGTTCACCGAAAGTTCATCCAGTGTAATTCGTCTTAAGAGAGCCGAATCAGTTCAAGTCATCCGATTGAGTTTGGTCGATATGAATGGCATACAACTACTATTCATCTCAATCAATCAGTAGTATACAGTTCTTGATCCCCATTTATGAGATCAAGTAAATTAAATCCTATAGTAATTTTATTAATTTAGATCCTAAGGGAAACTGCAATGGGAAAATTTCCCCCTTCGAATTGTATATTTTGATTTATGGAAGGTTTAAATTTCTTAGAATCAGACATAGTGTTTCTTAACTGAAATTTTCTGGAACATATTATAACTAGCCAACATCCTCCGATTGCTCAACAGATATGTAGGAAAAAATTGAGATGGATTGACTGGGCACACACATTGAGGAAGAGGATTGTCAAATGACATTGCGTGCAAGGCAGGCCGTCGCTCGAGTGGAATCCAAATAGGAAGCGACCAGTGGGTCCTTGGTGCTATTGTGACATGGAGGAGATCGCGTGAGAAGGATATGAGAAATTGTGTGGAATCGTAGAGCTAGCCAGCTGAAGAGGATGGCAGAAGATAGGACAAAGTGGAGATGTGTTGTTGGAGGTAGCTCTACGTTCCACTCGGCACCCAGGGGAATAATAATAATGCTAGGCTAACAGAACTATATATATTTATATATAAAGCAGTTCATAGCGAAAAGATTGTATAATCCTGTTTGCCTAAACTACTGACATAAAAAATTTGCAACATTGTCTGTAAAAACTTTAGAAAAATCATTAATTAAACTCATTGACTTGGTATACATTACATGTACACAGAGTAAAGTATATATATACACATTAGTGATATTTACTAAATTCTTACTATAGGCATTTTAAAACTCACACGAAGAAATTTTGACAAAAATATCAACATCTATGAACTTTGAACAAAAGTTATTAACTCGTTGCATATTTAATATTGTTTTTTTTTTTTATGTTAAAAGGTATCTAACCAATGTTACTAATTACTATATATTTTAGATATTCTCCCAGAGTAACTCAAGTACATTTAATTTTGACAATTCAATCTCGACAACAAATTTAATCCTGACAACGTTGAAATCTGATGATTCTGTACCACCACACTATGAACAACAACAACAACAACATCAACAATGTGACGAAGACCAAAAAAGTTTGTCTCCGACATCAACAATAACAACAACAACAGCAACTCCATCAATTATGGTGAATAAAAAGGGTGAAATGAGTTCATTTTCAGACTTTAGTCAAATTCATATGGACAGAGGAAATTGTAGTGATAACAGTAGTAGTAGTAGTAATGAGAGTATCGATAATAATATCCCCAAAGAGTTGACGTCATCATCACCGTTATCACTGTCATCATCATTCTCATTAACAGGTGAGTATAAAGACTACTCAACAATAACAGCAGCAACAACAAGCATTAATACAGCCAATCTTACAAATGACAAATGCTCAGACACTAGTGACCAATTCGACAAATCCTTATTAAATTTCATCAATCATACAATCAATAACACTGGATTGGGTAAAACTGAGAAAACAGTAAATCAAGAAATGTTTACACAAGATACATTTTCATCATTGAAGTCAATTCCTGGAAGAAATCTTTTCCCAAGCATAATAAATCATAATATTGATAATATCAACAAAAGTGGAGTTGAGCATACTGAACATTTAGGCGGTTTTATACAAAATCAGACCACTTTGAATGCTTTGTCTATGGCATATTCATCTTTGATTGCCAGTGGTTTGTACGGTTTAAACAATAAAAGTACCAGTACGGTTAACCATTCTACAAATACACCAATAGATAAATTTCAGTCTCTACTTCAATGTCATTCAATTCCCAATTTGTTAAAACAACGTTCATTACTACCGACATGTGAATCGCCGTCATCAGGAATAACATCGACAACAATTTCATCATCATCTACCATACCACCATTACCATCGTCATTATTTTTATCAAATTCTTTGGGAAGGATACATTCAGGAGATTTATCGCACCCGTTTATTTCACCTGCAAACGATACTGTCACTAGTAATAATAATAGTAATAAGAACTTTGCTACTCCAAAAGTACATCAAGAAAGTAGTGCTAGTGAATTCAATCTCCCTGCAATTATGAATAACCTTTTAGTTGTAAGTCGTAACAGAGGTTTTTTTGAATTTTTATAATGTGTTCGTCTCTTATGTGACTACAGACATTATATTTTTCTAATGTGAATACATTGTACTATTGGTAGTAGTAAGTTAGTCTGTTCTAGCATATATATATGTATATATGCATATATATATATATGCATATATATACATATACCTGATTGCCATTATCAACAATGAACTGTTACCGTCCTAACTACAATTAACAACATAAAAATCAACGATAACAACAAATTCAGATTTCGTTTTTGTTTTAGTAGTAGAGTTTTATTAGAAAAATGTATTATCTCTCTTGAAAGAATAAGATGCAAGTTTTGTAGTTTACACTTATTTTTTTCGAGTTTGATCAGGGATTGATTGGTATCAGTTAGAGGACCATTGAAAACCATATACAGGGAGTAATGCCGGACAGCTGTTTCAGTTGTCCTAGTTTAGGAACCATAGGCAGTACACAGAACCTTTGGGTTACAAGGCGAACTAGCTTGTATACCATTCAGTCACTCACTCGAACCCACCCGATTCAATGGCGAGCCAGTTCATGAATTCTAACTTCTACTAATTCGTGATTTAGGTCCTGGATTCGAACCCCCTCCTTGTGGTGAGTGCCTACTGGCGATGATTCTCAAACTAGGCAGATGAAACAACTGTCTGGCAGTACTCCCTATGGCTGGTTTTCGATGGTTGTCTAATTGATTTGAATCAATCCGTGGTGAAACTCGAAAAAACAAAATATAATCCTTACAAATTAACTCTTGAATATTTACACTTGTGTCACTTAACTTTCCATGAACACTTTTACAAAGTTTAATATTTCTTTGACTAACTAATCCATAGGAATGAATATATTCCGTAAATATACATTAACTTTAATAGTTAATTGGACTATATATAATACAACTGACTAGTTGCATATAAGCTGTAATTTGGATATTTCCTTCAACAAGTCATCGGGGCAACTTATACTAAGGATTCAGATGTATTACTTGTATTCCATTCAAATCGACATATATAAGTAACAAAACATTCAGTGAATTCAAAATCAGATTGACTACAATTATATCTTTTGCATATCCAAGAAGCTAACGTATCAATCACTTTTTGCCATGGCGTCAATTTGATCCCAAGAGCTTCGTTAAATTAATAATAAATATATAGAGAGAGATGGGTGCTGTCAGAATCCAGCGTTGATGACCTGCTTCTTTTTTTAGAATTAGAAGAGTTTGAGGCCGGCCGGAAACAGCTTCAGAGACTAGTTTACTCCAGCTGTGAGATATCTTAAGACAATGAAAATTTCATGTTATCAATTTTATTCTTTTCAATCTCTGATAGTTTGTATGCTGATACAAGCAGCATTGCTAAGTCGACTAATCCAATGAACAAACATAGTATAGATAGATTTTACGCTCAACACACATTACCTTTTAACTGATATATATATATATATCAGAGATATCGGTTAACAAACGTTTTACACTTTTCCATAAGGAAGAACTGTTCATAGGTGAAAACAGCACAAGGATTTGCAATGGTATAAAAGTACTTGTTTGAGAGTTTATTAACCTTCCCAGTAAAACGTAACTCCATTGTCAGTGATGATGCGTACGTGAATACAACCCAGTATATTTGCTAATCTATTGTTCTAATTATCACTGTTCGCAACGACAACAATAACAACCACATCATGATACTATTACTGAGATGCGACGCAAGAAAGGAAAAGATGGGATTCAGTCAACAGACTAAATACCTATCCAGTAGCATCACTTAGCAGGCATTATTTTAAAGACGTCAGTAAAATCAACTGATATGCTACATATTATTATTATGATTTCCTTTAGTTCCTAGAGGAACATAGGGCATCAGCCACACGTCTCCATTGCGTTTGGTTCTCCGCCATCGTTTTCTCACCTGGCTCCAAGTCTGTCCACATGATTTCATCTCCTATTCGCATCACCTCCTCCTCCCCCTCCTTCATGTCACCCTCGCACTCACGACCAACTAACTCGCCGCTTCCCATTCGGATTCCACTCGACAGAGAGAGAGAGAGAGAGTGCAACAGCATGGCGTGTGATGTCACTCACTCGATGGTTTGTCTTCTCAGAGTATGGCCACAATCCAATCCACCTCCATTTCTTCCTGCATATTTGTTGCACAATCGGTTCCTGTTGGGTTGGTTGGTTGGTTCATTGGCGGAGATCCCTCACTATTGCTGGTCTTTTCTGGCCGGCCATCTGGCCCTGAACGAAGTAGTGAGTGAAGACAGCTATTGATGAAGGTGTGCAGTTTGTTTTTATAAGGGTGGGCTTCATTTTTGTTGCTTTATGTTCCCAGTGTGGAACATAGGGCCACTTCAAGCTAGAGCTTTTTGAAGTTTCGGTAGCAGTGGTGTTTATTTTTTGCTTTTTACGGGATGGGGTTGCTGCTAGCCTTATGCACACCTAACCTCCCCTCTGTACTAGTCTGATTACTGGCTTAGAGATGTAACGAAAAGTGTGTCGGTGGCCAGCGAGCCGGAGATCGAACCCTGAACCACATGGGGGTGTGTGTGGTTGGTGCCGAGCATTCTACTGCTGTGCCACCGACGTGAGGATGGGCTTAACTACCACTAATAGCAGTAGTAATAATAATAATCCAGACATTATTATCTGACATACACCTTGAATTAAATCAGAAGGTGGAGGGATAACATCATTAAGCGTGAATAAATTACATACTAATGACTTCTCAAAAATGTTTAAAAAAAAAAAGAAGTTAAATCATCCTTCTCATTTCACCTATCAGCATAATAATTGTATGACGAAAAATAAAAAGGCGATTATAATGGAAACTTTAATCAGTTATTCTGACAGTGTTATAGCATTCATTGTGTTCTATTGCATTCAGTCCACCACCACCCGCACACCCAAAATAGAAGATAATTTTTTTTAATCCCTTGAGATATCTGATTACAAAATAATGATAGGGTTTTCATCCGTGGAATAATTATTGATAATTTTAAACAGGTGTTTACAGTATTTAATTAACACTCTTCTTTTTTTTTTAATCCTGATGTCCACAAATTCAAATATCACCTACACAGGTTCATTCTAACATTTTTTTGTTAATGTATTTGAATAAATTGAAGGATTTCACTATGAGCTGACATCAGTTAGAGAAACCAAACGGAGTACTGCCAGACAGCTGTTTCCTCCGTCTTAGTTTGGGCTGGATTCGCTTTTCATCAGTAAGCACCCACCACAGTGGGGTTCGAACCCAGGACCTTCTGGTTACAAGGCAAGCGAGCTGGTAAACCATTAAGCCACTGGGATCCTATTCGATGGCCAGTACATGAATTCTAACTTCTGCCAATTCATGAATAAAGCAAGAACAAGTGTTGTACAGTTAAATTAACTGATGACGTTTCAAGCACAAGCTATTGCTCATAATCATATCATATCATATCATATCAACTTGATATGATCATGAGCAATAGTTTGTGCTCGAAACGTCATCAGTTAATTTAGCTGTACAACACTGTGTGATTTATTAAAATAAAATCTTATCCATTACGGAGTTATACTCTACCACAGTGCCCAAGTTTTATACTTATATCAAGAACAAGTGTCTTGTGAAGAATAAAAAGATAGTACCATCACTGTTTATTTCGTTGACTTCTCGTCAGCTCAGCTGCGCACAGCCCAAAATCATTATTAAGTATATCTACAGAAATAATTTTAACATACTTGCACGGAGTTCATTTTTAAACAAAAGTCAGTCAGTCAATATATGCATACAATAATAATACATAATAATAATAATAACCACTTTATCCCAAACAATAATAATCATACACAATGGAAACTTTTAGCATTACGTAATCAGATGGAAGATAGGCTAGCCTCATGCTCAACTTTCCCTCTTTATCAGTCTTATTACTGGCTTGGCGAGGTAGCGAGGAGCGCATCGGTAGCGGGCCGGGTACACAACCCCGGACCACGTATGTTGTGGTTAATAAGCATTCTGTTGCTGAGTCACCCACGTAAAAATGCTTGTCACCATCTGAAAAGCAGAGACAAGGCAACATGGTGAGTATCTTGGGCAACGATTCCAGTACTTCTGGCATGTGAAGTGAGTCACTTTATACTAAATTCTATTTCGAAAATATTTCTAATTGATTACCTTTTCTTTGTGTTTTTTTCAAGGAAAATTTAGAAGGATGGCGACAACTTCAGAAAACTGGTTTACCGTCTAACATAGATCCTCAGATGTTAACCTTTTATACTGGAGCATGGTATGTAATCCATTTATAAATTTATTTTATTATTTTTATTCCTGTACATTCCCAGTGGAACATACAGGGACTTCAAGCTAGGCCTTTTTGAAGTTTCGGTAACAGTGGTGTTTATTTTTTGATTTTTACGGGATGTGTTTGCAGCTAGCCTCATGCCCCCAATCTTCCCTCTTTACCATTCTTATGGCTGACTTAGCGATGTAGTGAGGAGTGAGTCGGTGGCCCGCCACGGATAGAACTCGGGACCACATGGGGACGTGGTGGTTGGTGGCGAGCATTCTACCACTGTGCCACCGACGCCCATTTATAAATAATCTTACAATAGTTTAAACTTACCGTTCCATTAAAATAATCTGCCGTATTATTTTCTTTTTAAGTGTCAACTACCCTTCATTAGTGATTTTAAAATAATAATTGTAGAAGTTAAATGACATAATGACCAAGTTTAAAATGTTGGGTTTCCGTGACAGTGTGTCAATGAAGATGAATTTCTTTTGTTGTTGCTACTGACTAAGATAATATCTCTGAAATGAAATTTACTCAGTTTCCTTGCCTTATTTAATCTGACGATGGTTTTGTAATGAAACGACTGTATTTTATATAAGACAGTTGTCCAGTATTTATGATATTTTCCAATTACTTGCAAGTGAATCAGACAGTCCATGATAATCCGTTCATAAACCCTGTCTTTCAAGCAGTTAGTATAGTAATTAGAAGTGATATGAGTGGTTGGGAATTAATTCTCTGTATGTAGATAAAATAAAAAAACCCAGAAGGTACTGAATTAGAACCCTGATGGGTGCGCACTGTGAAGAGTGCCAAACTAGGACGAAACAGCTGTCCACTACTCCCAGCTGCTTTTCCAATGGTTCTCTAACTGATGTCAACTCATAATGAAGTCCTGTAACCAATCAATCAAATTCCTACAAAATAAAGAATCGTTAATATTTCTATAATATTATTCGATAGTTGATTTCTAACAGTGAAATCCAGTACGATGTGTATTTCATCCTCTTAGGAACTTATCATCAAAGTGTAATTGCAGCGACCAAAACCAACGTGTTGTGGTCTGAATGTAGGAAACTAATCTATGATTGTTCTATTGTATAGCTCACCAAGACTTTATGAGTTAAGCACAATCCTTAAATGTCCCAGTTATATCAAAAAGACAGTTATTTCAGGTGAAATTTGATGAACTATTTCATAATAATAATAATAATAATAATAATAATAATAATAATAATAGTAATAATAATAATAATAACATATATCAAAATGCAAAATTGCCTCAACAATACCACTAGGTGGCTATACAGATCGAATAGTTTCTCGAGTACAAAACAAGTAATATGCAACGATATTATTGAACCAGAATCAAGTGTATGGAGTACCTGAGTGAGAATTAAGATGACTATTCCCAACAAGGTTGGGATCAAAACTCTGTCCACAAGAATAACACACCATCAGAATAACCTTGACTTCACTCAAACAAAGTCACAGCTGCAAAACAGAACATTTTCAAGTATTGGTTTTGTAAGGATTTTGTTTGATTGGTTGGCTGGAGGATTTCATCATGAGCTGACGTCGGTTGGTTAGAGAACCACCATTGGAAAACCAGCCACACAGAGTACTGACAGACACCTGTTTCCTCCGTCTTAGTGCTTGGGCCGGAGTGGCTCTGAAGCAATACGCACCCACCCACCACACCACAATGGGGTTCAAACCCACCACCTTCGCGTTACACGGGAATCTCTGTTCGGTGTAATTAAACAATACGGAATTCACAATAATATTCATTTTATTCATAAACTTTCCCAGTGGAACATAAGGCGATTTCAAGCTACAGGTTTGAAGTTTCAGCAGCAGTGGTTTTATTCTCTTTGTTGCAGTGTGCGGTTGCTAACCTCATGCTCAACTTTGCCTCTTTATCGGCATTATAACCAGCTAAGGGAGGTACAGTGGTGAATCGATGGCCAG